TATTCGTGTTAGATCCTGATGGTTTGAATGTTCTTAATCTGATCCTAAATCTATATGAGAGATTTAATAAAATGATCGAATAATTCACTCGATGATTCAATGATCTTTAAATTCCTCTTGATAGATTTTATACAGGGATTTCAGAGAGGGAGACAACTGGGATCGCGCAATTACACCACTTAGCTCCGAGAACGAAATTCCACAAAAAAAATTCAAATCACAAATCGCTAAGCAAAGAAACAATAATAATGCCTAAATTTTAAAGAGAACATAACCTAGTAAATTGTGGTGCATGTTACTTATGTCGATAGACATAAGTAGCGTGTCACAACAATCAGAAGTGAAATAGCTGTCGAAAGAAGGTTGGGAAGATTGCATTGAAAAAAAAACAGAAAGGAAATATGATTTGAAAGATTCAGGGAGGACGTAAAGTACAACTGATGGAAGATTTACACATGAAGCGTTTAATGTATAATTCTGCATTAAACACTACAAATGAATACTGAGAAAACAAGAATTTTACAATAACAGAGTTACAGATTATGGAATCATAGATATTAGGAAAAAGTGACAACTATAAAAGTGCATCTCATTGATTTCTTCGAGTAAATCAGACGATCTATACGACTTCAACTAACAAGATACAAGCAATTGTAATTCAAGAAAAATTAATGAATACCTACAGTGGAAAAAATTGTTTAAGAAGTTATCAGCCCATGAAAATGCAACAATATAAATAGTGAATATATTGAAAAGCATAAAGAATTAAAAGAGATTAATGACATTAGGGAATTAACAACAAACAAAGTGAAGTGAAAATCAATTTTAAAAAATTATCAGAAAAGAACAGTATTTTCTTTTTTCCTCAGACAAACCATGAAAAACAAACAGCAAAAAAAAGACTGAGCAATGACAAAAACTGACAGACACAAACATATAATTACACTCAAATACACACATACACAGCACAAAACTGTATCCATGATGTTGTTTAGTTTTATATGCATTTAAATAAATAGCAATGAAACGGAATGATGTATAATATAGAAAGGAAAATTTATAATTTAATAGTCGAATTCAAGAATCAGTAAAAACTAGACCATCACAGAAAACTTGGAAGCACTGGACAGCCGATTTGTCCTAGTATGGGACTCATCGGCAGTGTGTATCCACAATCCTGCTCGAAGGATTCGACTGGATTCAATAGGTATTTCCTGTAGATTTAGTGAGAAGCCGTGATCGGTGGTGTTCAACCGGGTAAGTTGTGCGATAGTAACTCACTGAAGACAATGGTGGACGGTGGCGCGATTTCGTGGATGTCGACTCAGTAGACTAGAGGTTAAGCGTTCGTGCACGAAACCGATAGGTCCTGTGTTTGAATCCAGCGGGCGGGATCGTGGATGAGAACTGCCGAGGAGTCCCATACTAGGATGAAACGGCCGTCCAGTGCTTCCATGTTGTCCATAGTGGTATACCTTTTATTAATTCATGAATTCAAATATTACATTACTAGTCTCCACAAAACTCTCTTCTGATGAAAATTTATAGTTGACAATTAGCATAATCATTCAGTTATGAACGAAGGCAGAGAGAATGATGGACGAAAGTAAGCAATAAGTAGGACCAAGAAAATTCTTCATTTCATGTGTTATAACAGGAAATAACAAAAAGAAATTCACCATGTGGTTTTATAGGGACCACGAAAAGGAGTTACCACTAAGAATTATACACGATAACTGCATGTCACAGTTATATGCATATATATATATATATATATATATATATATATACCAGCAGCAAGGTAGCACTTAACTTGTTGCATCCTTTTAAAAGGAAGAAAAAACAGAGCAGATGATGAGAAAAAATTTAGTCACTGAAGGATGTATAATGCGAATTCAAAAATAAATTACTTGATACCAACAAAATACAGAGAAAAGTAGGCATGACAAAATGCATCATAACTCATTGATACACAAATGATTATGTAGTGTTAATACAGTTGAGTAGTTCGAAACCTGTTATCAAATACTGTGACGCTTCATTTCTTGTGAAAAATCGATCTGGAGTAGCTGACCGCAATATGTTATCTATCAACTAAATAATCAATTATACTGTTATCAATATGTCATACGACTGGAAGAGAGAAGTGAAAATGGCGAGAGATTTGCAAATCTATGTGCATTCAACAAATTGGTTATAGGCAGCACAATATTCCCACACAGACGCATACACAAAGCTACATGGATCCCACCGAATCACACTACAAAGAACCAGATAGATCATATTTGTATCAATAAAGAATGGATTTCTATCGAAACCCCGGACAAGATTCAAGAAAGGAAGAACAAGACAGCAAATAACAACATCCGAACAAAAACAGCCAAAGTCAAGGCACAAGCTGAATACATAGAAGCAAACCAGCAAGTGAAGAAGAGCATTAGAGAAGACAGGCATAACAACGAAAGCGAAAAAAGCTGCAACAAAAGGGATTATGAATCAACTGATAGGGAGACATAGTAAATAAGAAGGACCGCTCAAGAACAAAGAAGGAAAGAAAATCACTGAGATTCAAGAGCAGAGGAATGACGTGTAGAACACTTTGAGCAGCTCTTGAACAGACCAGTTCCATGAACCGAAGCAGCACACACAGACCTTCCTATAGATGTCACACCACCAAATACCGAAGAAATCAGGATGGACATCAGACAAATCAACAGTGAAAAAGCAGCAGGATCTGACAATATATCAGCTGAAGCACTGAATTGAGACACAGAAGTAATTGCAAACATGCACCACGTTCGATTCAGGGAGGTTTTGGAGGAGGAACAAGTGCCGACGGACTGGAAAGAAGGACACCTCATCAAGATATCAAAGAAAAAAGATCTGAGCAAATTTGAAAACCACAGAGGTATCACACTACTGTCAGTACCAGGAAATGTTTTCAACAGTGTTGCTGAACCAGATGGGAAACTCAGTAGTGTAAAGTCCCGACAAGAATAATGAGTAGTAACTTTTGGGATCCATTAATGCTTGGAGGACAGCTCACAGACTCATCCAGAGTAAAGACCGGTTTCAGGCAAGGTTGACTACTCTCACCCTTTCTCTTTCTCCTGGTGATCGACTGGATCATAAAGACCACGACATATGAGGGGAAGCACGAGATATAATGGACAGTTCAGAACCAACTAGACAATTTGGACTTCGCAGGTGACCTAGCACTCCTATCCCATACACACAAACAAATGCAGATGAAGGCAACTAGTGTAGCAGCAGTGTATGCGTCAGTAGGCCTTAACATACACAAAGGAAAAAGCAAGATCCTCAAATACGGAACGGAGAACTTCAACAAAGCCAATCACACTTGATGGCGAAAATCCGGAAAGCATCATCGATGAATGTTGAGAATCTGATGCAGATATATGGGCAAGGATCGGCAAAGCAAGGATAGTATTCCTAAAAATTTTAGAACATATGAAATTCAAAACAACAGTCAGCGAATATCAAAGTCAGAATTTTCAATACGAAAGTCAAGACAGTCTTAGTGTGTGGAGCTGAAACGTGGGAAATTACTATAACCATCATCAAGAAGGTACAAGTATTTATAAATAGTTGTCTACACAGGAAACTCAACATCCGGTGGCCGGATACCATTAGCAACAGCCTTCTGTGGGAGATGAAAAACCGACTGTTAACTGAAAAGGAAAGGAGGAAAAGTGGTTTGAAATAGATAGGACATACATTATGGAAATCACCAAACGGCATCACGAGGCAAGCCCTAACTTGGAATCCTGAAGTGAAGCGGTAAAGAGGAAGGGCAAAGAACCCATTAAGTTTGGAAATAGAAGCAGATATGAATAACAACTGGAAAGGATTGTTCACGACAGGGTTGGATGGAGAGTGCTGGTGGGTGGCCTATGCTCCAACACGAGGAGTACCAGGCATAATTAATTGATTAAGTAACATGTCATACGTTCACCGACGACTACGATCATATCAGCAAAATAATATTTCGCTCGTAAAAGGCCACAATGTGGCTTCACAAAAAATCCAAAATCACTTCATAAGCTGACTGCAGTCACCAATCGTTTCGTCCTGGTATAGAACATTGAGTAAGTTTGCAAAATGACCCGGCCGAGGATAGAACCCAAAAAACTGACGTTACATAGAGTGAGCTCAACGATTAGATCACCGGCTGAAACACATTTCCGCTTTAAATCAATTAGTGATATACCAAAACAGTTAATGGTTGCTCCCCAGCTTACAATCGTATCCCCCGGTAAATAAATTAAACATATCTCCATAAAAATTCCTCATAATTGTTATAATCATGATCTCACTAGTTGAGAACCCGAAGAAATCCTTGAGCCCTAGCAGGAAGTGGTAACCAGAATTAAACCATATCCAGAATGAAACAGTCAATACTCATGTTTTCGGATAAAAATTTCAAAAGTTGCATTCATCTAAAAACCATCCATTAAATAATATTATAGAAAAAATTAAATAAAAGGAAAATGGAAATCTGCAATCCGTACTAATACTATACCATATTGTAAGATGACTAACAAGAAAACACTTTATTCATAAACTGCTTTAGTTCTAAAAGGAAATGACAACTTCATTTGTCGCATAAACAAACTAAAAATCGAAATGCTTAATGCTTCAAAATATATTTAGATACACAGATAAATGATGTAAACAATTCAGGTTAACATTTTTCACGAGAATAAATAGCTCATTTTTCTTTAAGCAACATTTATATTCACAACAGTTGGATACGTCAGTACAAATGTACTTAATATAGACAAACATACTGGAATTCTGCCATTACAACCATATTGCAGTGTCAGTATGATGTGTGGCAATCTGCAGTGATACGAATTTGTACCAGGCTTAATAATATCAACAACCGAATGATCAGATTTTTTGTTACAATGATATATTTCTATGATTAGAAAACGATTCTTGGCTAGAAATAAAACACTATGGTTAAAATAACTTACTGCAGTTTCAAGATTTATGTCTCGACGACTGAAGTGTAATAAACAAGTATGGTAACTGCTTGCAGTTAACAGTTTACGGGAATCCGAGCAGAAGTGCATGAAATGTATGGCAAGAGTATCGCTTTCAGTTGCTAACAAAATCGAAGAATAATGAGCATTGATATCTTTTGCATCAGAAAGTGAGGTACTGCCTGTTTCAACAGGATTAGATGTACTAGTTGATGGGTTTGCAAACAACTTCGAAGTACGAAACTTATAGAGTGGCGTCAACGAAACTAGAAAAGATCAAAATAGAAAATTTGTTTTAAAAGGTTGTGAGCTTGAATTTGTGGATAACATATGACGAAAAAGCGAAACACGTTCACTATTTACTTTAAAGTTGAATAAAACACTGTTATTTCAACAAAATTCCATGAGTGTGTGTTGAGCTAAAATCATAACAGTCAAAACCTTGAAGAGCCATACCTCTATATAAATTCCAACAAAACCGCAATAGAAAGTAAACAGGCAATGTGTTTTTTTTAATCAACCATTTATGATTGTGTACACAACTCTATTCTACGAAAAGAAATTTATCATTGAATGGGAACTAAATAGATTGATTAGGACGTGTTATTTACATTGAGAAAATGAAGTTCATATACTAAGGTGTTTTGGATGACTGTGGACTTCATCCTTTATCCTAAACAAGAAAATAAACACGAGATATTTAAACCACTCTCAATTAGTTGAAAACATGCAGAAGTTGACCAATATGGATGATCATTGAGTTCTAATCTAGATCTGTAATACAGCACCAGAAAATCTACCTCGACAACCAAGTACAAGTTTGCATAATCAATCGTGAGACAGAATGTGTGGTTTTAAAAGGGCAGTTACTCTACATTTGAGACGATATCTATTAATATGATTGACCACAGAAGAAATTTTTTTCATGAATTAAAATGCGCGTTCGAGTACGTAAATAATTTTAGTCGGTTCGGAACTACTGATGATTCTTACTGCCGGTACATCAATTTTGTTTTACAAAATGAAATCCGAAAGCGCATTTTAAACTTTGACTACTATATAATTGACGAAAAAATGCTTGAGTGGAAAAGTGATAAATGGTAGTCATAGGTAGAGCGAGTAAACAGAAGCAATCAGTGTAGAAATGATCACAAAGAAATAGTGTTACATTGAAGAACAACGTAAAGTAAATAAAATATAAACAAACCTTCGGATGCATCCCAAAATCGAACAGATCCATCAGCATGTCTATAAAATGCGCATAGCGAAAATGTGATAATTTGTTAGCGGCAGCGTATACAGAAAATAATAATGAATCCAATGCCAGTTCTAATGAATAAACTGAAGCACTTAAGTACAATGTCTGAACCTATATAAAATCGTGGTATGATACTAATGGAAAAACTTTTTATATGAATTCGAATGTAATCATCCAATGCATAGATACAGCTGTAACATACTGGAAGTCAATCAATATAATTCACACCTGTAGCCAATAATAGGAATTTTTCAAAGATGAATACACAGAATCCGTACTACATGGACAGTAACCTCTAGTCTTAAATGGTTGGGTAAATATTATCCATTTCAGTTTGTTCTACGTAGAAAACATTGCTCTCAATTCGAAATAATAAAATAGATGCAAATGTTGAGACAATTAGTATTACGCGATAACATTTAGCCACTAAAGATATATATGAACAAATGATTTGTCTACTGACAATATTAATATGTTTTTTCTACAGTGAGAAATAAAAGTGATATAACCCATGTGCTTTTGTTCACGAATCTATTCACACAACTTTAATGTTATCTAATAAGTTGGTAGGTTGCTCACTTATACCAGATTCTAATAATGTATACACACTACTTCACTAAAACCAACTGATGATATAATTTTTAATATGAAAATAGACAGCATTACCCAATCATTTCAGTCCGTCAAAAATAAATGAATGCTTAGAACTGATTGTTCAAAGCAGAGCTGTCAATAAGCGGTAATTAATGTAAAGGCATACACCAAAAGGAAACTTAAATGGTTTCCTTTACTATCAACTATTAACGATTGTCTACATCACCTTCTTTCCTCAGTTTTGTAAGCAAAGATACATGTTAGATCTAAAAAATAAATACACTTTCCATCGTATAAAACTGAATAATTTTTGTCACATGCAAGATAAATGAAAAGCTTCACGACATTATTGAAAGAGGACGATATCCATAATGGATAGATGGCTTAATAATATACTTATTTTAATTATCATGAAACGAACTAACCTTTCTCACATACTTCTACTTTTCATAAGATTAGAGATTTGATATTGATGAACTCTCTTAGTATTTGACTTGAGTGATGGTACCGAATAATCAATTACTTTTATAAACATTATAAATCACAATCGAACCATTACTAAACAGGAATATCTGAAAATTACCAGAAACTGAGTGCTGACTTATTCAAGATGCAAATTCTCAATGGGGCAGTACTTAGTAGGAAATATTTTAGGGTTATTATACCATCCTAACTGAGGAAAGAAGATTGAATCTGCAAAAGTTACTCAAATTTAAACGTAATTGTCATCACAGAATAGTAATGGATGTAGAAGCTCAAACAAGGTAACTACATTGATTTCCCTTCGCTAATATGTAAGTACACCAAATAGTGGAACAATTAATATAAAAGTCAACAGAAAAATAACTGAACGCAATAAAGTATAATATTACTGATCAAATACCCCGTTATGATTAATTCAGGAACTTGTTGATTACTTAATCGCCATTCTCCTCCAGTAATAGGCCATTCGCGACTGCTGAACACATCAGGTTCAGCACACGTGCCACTTTGAGTACGATTCCGACGACTGCTAACAGAATAGAAAGCAGGTATCAAGTCTCCAGGACAATCAACTAAATATAAACAGCTGGTGACAGGAGAACTATGCAAATCCATTGGATATGGGTTTTCAAATGTTGCGAAGCTTCAAAATTAAAAACAAAAATGGTAAATGGTTCAAGTATATTCACAGGAATTTTAAAAGAAATCTAAAAGATACTTAGAAAAAAAACAATCAGTATCCTTACTTTGTAGATAAAAGATCAATAACAACAAGATCTTCTTGCAATAATATGGCAACTGCATAAGGATCCATTGTCTCTGAAAAAAGAATAAGTATTAATATCACCGATCAGAATGTAAACGTATTAGAAAAGATTTTGAATGCAGCTTCACAATAGATAGTGATTACTATGATAGCGTTTAATGTTTCGTTAGTAGTGTTAAGTCCGAGTCTCCAGATATGTATCAACAGCTAATTAGATATAAGTATTATCCACCTAATAAGTGAAAAATAAGATTAAACACACGGCTTATATTAACCGGTGATCTTTACTAAGCACGTAGTTTAGACATTTAACCAGACAGAAAGCAATTAATTAAAAATACAATTTGATCTTAAACCTCGCTTAATAAAAAAAGAAGGAAAAACTGAATATTTTGTACAATTTTACTGATTAGAGACAATAATATTCGGACGAAATATAATTTACTGTGTTCATGTGTGCACGAAATAATTTAAGCTGAATTTATAATTAAGTTTTTCCTAGCACAGTATAAATTGCCTAAGTTCATTGTCTAATTTTTTCCTAATTTTTCTACTGTATTTAAGTTGCCACATATCATTAATTATAGCAGTAATTAAATTGTGAATAACTTGTGGTCGTGTATAAGTCGTTTCCTTGTATCTCGTAAGTGCGCGTTTACAAGGATTTTATCAATACGGTTGCACCTTCTAGAGAAACCAAACATGACTTCAAACCAGTGGGGGACAAACATTATGCAAATCACATATGTGAACAAATAACGTGACACTTCTAGTTAGTGTTCTTAACATTCTGATAGAATGATTGTTGGAACATTTTTATTCATAAAAGTCTTCAGAAAAATATATGTACAAAAAGCAAAACAGAAAATGCATCTCAAGAATAGATACTTTGTTTCAAAAATAGTCCGCCGCATATAAGGTGTGATATCTTTTCATTCCGATGTTCCTTAAGGAAACGTATCGTTAGACATGGAATAAATGAGGATCAAGCAGTAAGGTTAGATTATAAACAAACGTAATTTTGTAGCTCATCTTTGTTTTTACTAAGCACAAATAAAACAGTATCATTAAGCAGTTTTAATAAAATAATTTTGTTTAACATAATAAATGGAAATGTCACCATATACTGGATTGCTTGAGTGACGATATTATATTAGTAAACTATGCGGCAGTTTATGAAACAATTGTACTCAAAGCCAATAGATTTGTAACTCGATTACAACTTGGGATATCAGATATCAGTCAGTCAGCTACAACGTCGGACCAGACACATATATGCATCGGTCCAAGTCGCCATACCTCATTAGCACAACAAGATGAACACCAAATTCATAGAAGTAAATGATTCAGTGGTGGTTATATATAATAGAAAGATTGTATATAAGAACATAGTACAGGAAGAAAGAATTAGTTCATAGAATGAAAGATATGAAGCGACTTGAATCTCATAGTTTAAGGGAAGACAAAGAGTGTATATACCTACGCCATTGTGATAGATTCTGGGCCATGTCACAGTCTCCAGCCATTGGTAACGATAGTCACGCGGACCCCAACCAAGTAGTTTGCATCTACCAACATGGCTCAGACCAGAAGTTAGTGACTTCAAGCACTGGTGCTATGTTTTGGATTGGTCGACCCTAACTTTCTTACAACCATCCCCAATACTGGCTAGCATCAAAATCAAAATTATTCAGCTTAATAACAAGTAACTGTACACAGGCAGTCATTCCGAAGAGACATGTAAATAAAATTTCCCACATAAAGAATACCTATTTAATAATTTAATTTGGACCCAATAAAAAATAGACAGTGAACTCAATAAATCAATACCAATAGAAAGAAAAGAAAAGTGAGAAATCTATTACGTACCACTTGTGTAAGGAGACATACAAAGAGTTGTAAATTGAACAAGTTTATGATCCAATTGTAAAACAACCAACTTTTTGCCTCTTTTGATAGTCAACATATGATTACTAGAAATCATACATGATGATGATGATGATAAATTTGGGTCATTTTCAGATGAATCTGAATTAGGTAACGACGTCGAGGAGACATTAGTAGTAGCTACTGATGAATGAATGACAGTTTGAGCTCCAGGAGAACGGCCACCACCAGAAAAGATAATGAATGGTTCGCTAAATTAAAAGAGATGTCAGAATTAGTGACAAATTAAACACACTTGAAGTTCCATGATGAAGATAATAAACACATTATGATCTAAACACTGTATTGCTCACGTACTTTTACAAATTTTTGATATCTAGTAAGCTGGTATCAAATGATGACCCTAAATAGAGTTGGCATCAATCGAAGACAATCTAAATTACGATATCTATGAATGATTTCCTTTTTCTCTTATTGGAAAGACCTTTCTTCTTATCAATAAATCTTTTTCCTATTTATTTCCAATGAATTAAAAACGTGTATAACTTCAGTGTATTCTTTTGAAGTCAGTTTTGTGAAATGTAAATTGATCAACGTTTCTTTGCCTCAACATTTTGTATTATAGATAGGTGTATCAAATTGAATAAATTCAAAAACAAGTAGCAACAAAATGAAACGGAAATCACATGAAACGCATTCATGTCTAAGCAATAAAATCTTGTGTTAAACACAGGGTAGTTTGTAATGTGACACATGCTAGGAATTTAATTTCTTTTTAAAATTTATTTACTAAATTCTTTATTTTATCTCATTAAGTATAAGTGGAAAATATCAAAAGAAGTTATCGCAAATAATATATATATATATATATATATATATATATATATGAGGAAGAAAAAGAGAATTTTCCCAAGCGGACTCCTTCATTTTACTATTCTTTCAAAAAAATGGGATTTTTTGTGGACAAAGTAGAAAGAATAAACCGCAGAAATAAGTGATTTGGTATATATTGTAACAAAAAGAATGGGGTTTCACTGTTAGCATTAACATATTCACACAAACATATATCTAGCTACCTTAAACTGAGAGGAATTAGCAGGAAACTCACACACAGAATGGAATATCATATACAGCATATGATACTGAATGCATGCATACACAATTTAATAAATATATGTACAAAAAGTAGTAGACGATCATAAGAGTGGATTAGTTTCCACAGAATCTCATCAGAAAAAGCAATATTATTAAACAACAACAACCCTGATAATTTAAATAATATAAAAAAACAGTACAGAATGATAACAATCCAGTTGACATTTATGGAATTATAAAATACCACTTAGCCATAATGTGAAAATTAGACAAACTTGATTGCGAGTGATAATAATATTCAATTTACCTAAAGTGAAAAAAACAGGACTGAAAATTACACTTTTTCCGTAGATATTACAAATAAACAAAAGTTTAGTACATGCAACTGATACATATCCTTTTAAAATATATTCTAGCAAACAGATATTCCATTTATTTTACAGTATAATATAAAAGGGAACAAACGATAGGAACTGTGAGAGAGTGCATTTGACTAGCATAGAAACGTTTTAGTAATAATCATAATAGATGTTAATTTATCGTAAAGACATATAAGCTTACAATCAGTGTAACGATGAAGATAAATGATTATTCTATGAACATTTATAATTAGCTGTTTTTTAAAAACTCTAAAGGAGATTTAGTGTAAAATGATCTGGTGGACATGCCAGTGATGAATGGGGAGATTTGGAAACCTGAGAATGTTGAGCTGAAATTATTAAACCACTATATGTAGTCAAGATCTACGCAAACGTATAATAGCGATCAGTAAGGCAAGAATTTCAAATTAATAACTCGAGAAATAGTGTGCGATTTTTCCAACAACGAATAGCTCCATACAAGTAAACAATAAAACATTGATGAAAAACTTGATTTTTCAAAGTATATATATAGAAATAATTAGCCCAAAACAAGTTTCTAGAATAGAGATTAACATGCTTTCAAACAGCTTTGCAAATAAAGAATTAAAGGTAGCCTAAAGTAATCACTAAATTACTGAATAAATGAAGCCGGTTTCTTGGTCGATAGGACCTGACACACATAACCATGATCACCAACCAGTGATCAATCAGCTGTAAATGAAAGCCGGATTCGTACATGAACTAAATTTTGAATAATTTAACTGAGATAAAAAATCTTTAATGTACAATTGCAAAGACACGTATTCCGAATACAGAAATCTCTAGGAGATATGATACAAGTAAAATGAAACAGTGAACATGAAGTTTACAAAACTGAGTTTTTGTAATATTTTGTTTAATGCCTAAAAATTAAATAATTTTGGCGAATTCCGATTATACATGTAATAGACAGAAAATATGAAAAAACAGAAAAATGAATGAAAAGCAATACTGACGGGCTATTATGAATTCAAAACATGGAAACTAATTTTTGTGCGGAAAACAAGCTGTGTTTTGGCTTGAATCAAGATTTCACGAGATGACTCTAATATGAAAGGCATTACAATCGACACATTCTAATACGTAAACATAATTCTGTATCGACATAAAAGAGATCTTATCCTCTGTACGAACGATAATATTTCGAAGGGAGTTAGTTGTTTTGTAATATGCTTTAATTCTGTGTTGTTATAAGAATCCTTGGAGTTCTGTGGTACTATGGCGGCATGGTAAAACTACAGTAATCATCCATTGTATTTTATTCGAACTATTACTTGGCAGCAACTCGATTTGTTTTACTGCACATAATGAATGTGCTGAATTGAAGTCAATAGAAGGATTCAAGTGCGTTAGTTTTCGGAAGATAATTAGATTAGGAGCTCCACTTATATTTCTTTTAACTAAAAATGATATGCGACCGTGTTTAATATCATGCAGGTAGGTAGATTTAATGTTTGATGATAGTGTATTGATTAGTTTAGAAAAACATTCGTAAGAAAGGTGTTTTCACAACGATAAAATTATCATCCAGATATCTGGGACAAATTCGTCGTTTAATGTCATTGGCGAAAATATTTGATTGGGTACAATCGAAGACATGAGGGATCTCATTGCCACTCCTTTCGTTTGCTTGTATAATCACCATTGTTAACCTTTTTATAGAGACAGAATGTTATTATTCAAATATGTCGAAATGCCGACAAACAAACAATGAATAGATTCAAGAAAAAATCTTAACAATTAAGTCTAGTTCTAATGGTTGAAGAATCGTTTATAATCTCTCATACAGATAAGCAAGCGACCATGAAATCACTCTACGAGAGAAAGGATTGAAAGTCAATTTTCATAGAAAACCACTTAGGACTCTAGAAATTGTTCCACCACTAATCGAACAACTGCCAGTAAAAGTCTCATTCACCACATCAAAAAGCATCCCACATTTTGACCAAACAAAAACATCTTACACCTAACATTTCATAAAAATTGATAGCTTCACATTCATTTAAAAAAATATAGGACTGTTGTAATCACATGAGCTGACACAAGCAAAACACTAGCAGTCATGAATAAAAAGTATTATGATACTAAAGCTTTTGCACATCTATCCATGGACCCTGAAACAAATATCCACTGGTTTAAGTTGCCAAATCAAATTAAAACGACGAGAAGTTAAAAAAAAATAAATAGCAAAGGAATCAAAATAATATAATAGCAATGATAATCGACGATTCACTAATAAGACAGATAAACTGTGACAGACTAAGGTTTTATTTATTTATCATTAATGGATTTATTCCATTTATTATATTTTTGGTACAATACAGAAGTCTCAGCAAAAAGTATTTCAACAAGCTTATTTTACAAAACAAAAAGCCAATAAGTGCATACGTATATACATATTTTAAGCAACCTTCTGGAATTAAATGAAATGTTTATTAAAATGATTTTGAATTAGAATCATGTTTAGGAATACAAGTTATTGAGTAGGTCAGTTCTAACAATCTGTTCGTCATATAGTATATTTGCTAGATAATGTATCGTACAGCTTTCATATTTTTACATGCGTGCATAGATTCTAGCGTATTGACGTCTCGTTCTACCACAAGATATACTAGGAGAAAGATGTTAATGAATTGGATAGTTAGTATCTGATAAAAAACACCTCCCAGGAGTTTGAAAGATTTTAGATGTCCATCTACAAACATAATAATAATGACCTCAAAAGATACACCACACACTCTGCTAACTGCCTTCATAGCTCTTCTCAATACAGCAAAATCTTTTTCTCAAAACCACGGGGAATAATAATAAAGAACAGTAAAAAATAATAGGTAATATTCAAGAATCGACTATTTGTAAGAGTAAATGTTCAGTAATCCCGAAAACATGCAGCCTCTTTATGTAGCAAGTCAGATAGAAAACTTTCTTCAATAACAATAAAACATGAGAAGAGCAAGAGAGATCAAAAGAAAAGGTAACATCAAGATAACTGACCTTCGAGACTGTTTATCAAAGAATCTCCAATAGTACAAACATTATGGGATTCCAACAGGGTGTTTAGTTGCTGTTCATGTCACAGGTAAAAGTTAACAGTTTGACATTTAAACAGATTAAGTAAGAGACCATCAACAACAGGTCACCATTTATTACGATACACAAACTCATTCATTTCTATGGGATGTAAAGAGGTAGAAATCGGCATAAATACAGTGAAATCGACCGCATATTTTACAAGTGTTTTCTGTGGAAGATGGCAGATCATGCAGAAAAAAAGAGGTGAAAGAACAGTCCCATGTAGCACACTATGAGACAGTAGAGAAGTTGAACACTCTCCTCAAACAGTGTACTGTTCTCTTCCAGAGAGGTAGGAGCACAGCCAATAAGTTATCCAGGTTTCAATGTTGACGCTGATTAACTTGTTAAGTAAAAGTTGTTTTGGGGACAGAATCAAAAGCAGAAGTATAGTTCAGAAAAGCGCATCAAACATATTTCTTACACTTTTCCAAGCTGAACACTATGTAGAAAAACAGTATCCTTGTAAGCGAACTGATCAGTGTGCTCTTTTAATGCAGGTTGAAGTGGGAGAATCAACAATATTTTCTACTGTTTTAAGAGATGAAGTGATTGCTATAGATTATATTTATCTTTCTCCACAACTTTGGTATGAGATTAGTTCAGAAGGGTTAAAGATGCCCGTGAATGAATAACACAGAACATCAGCACACTTTCTGAAAAGCAATTTTGAGACTTTATCAGGTCCTAAGTGATTGGAGACATTTGCGAACATCCGCTTCAGTGAAAATCGGAACACAACTATTCTTCGAACCTGCAGATGTCGGAAGCATGACATCCGATGACTGACGTACGAAAAACTTATTTAAGTCTCAAACAATCAGCTGATTATGGCTTCTAATGAACCTCTCACCTGTAAGTTTTTAAAACAGTTTCCACATACTTGAAAAGTTTTTACGAGATAGGAGTCTCAGAGAAAACGTTGAGTTCAGACGTCTCATCTCTTGGTTTGTTAGACCATTTAGCTTTCGACCTTCACTGGGGTTTTTCTCCTCGAGCATTCTTTCTCTTACCCTATGTAATAATTTTAGTTGTGGAGATGTAAGTTGATTATAACTTACAATAACAGTTTCAGTGGGACAACAAATATCAGAACAGAATTTAAGATAAAAAGTGACAACATGAAAGGTGTTTTCCAATTATTTATTTACAAATAATTCCCAGTTTGTCGCACGAAACATGGTTTTCAGACTTTGGATATATTTTCTGAGTAATTCCCATATTTGACTTTCTTTGACTGATGTAAGAGTTTAATCTTTCCAAGCTTTCCACATACTTTAGGTAGAAAACGAATTATGCAGTGATCGAAACAAAATAATGGAGCACCTTTACGAGTCACATATACTGATGATAAATATTGAACCCTTGTATTGATACTAAACAAACGACTTGTAAAGCATTTAACCAGGATTCTTGAACTGTGATTACACCACAATAACGATATACGTTTAGACTTTGTAGGAACTGACGATAGCCCACCTTTTCCATTGATGATAGGCAGTTAGAAGTCAATAGTTCAGGAATCGACTACCGATTAATGTTCTTTTTTAATGCATTTTGCCAGCCACCACGATTTCTCTGTACTTTTTTGTAAATTCTAAAGCGATGAGTCGTAAACTTTTCATAAGTGCGCCTGAATAGGTTACGAGACTAATAGACATAATAATGTGTTAAAACAAACAAAAATACAAATTGTTGAAATATCTAGATGAGGAGCAGGTAACCCAGATATTCAAGTAGGCCACCTTTGTTGAAAATTGTTTCTATAAAACTTGACACTAATAACAAACGGTTTTCATATATAAAAGCTTATCTACATTTTGCAGTGAATTTACTTGCGTATTTAAATTTCTAAGTCACACTAAAGATTTAAGTTCAGTTCAACTTATAGTGTTTTTATATTTTTGCCTAGGAAACTACCATAGAGAATAATATAGCTATAAAGTTTAAACTAATGGCCTTAGATCGAACAAACTCCAATCTCCTGGGGATACATACACATTACCAACGTAACACAATCCTCATTAGTCGAAATCAATATTAATTATGTTACTTTTTGAGTTGTCTATAAAGCGAAATAAATATAAAATAATAAGAACAGTAGAAAAACTCAAGAATCAAGATGAACAGTAGACTTTCTTGAACTTTTATAATCTAATAAACTAACAACCTTAGTGAATAACAGAAGGAATAATAAACTGTTAGATACTTGAAAAGAAACTTTGAAACAACACTATTTGTTTTGTAATATGATGGCAGAAGATAAAATCAAAATATACATTTTTAAAAAAAACATCCATTTATTAACTCACTGAAGGCTTTGTTTTTGAGAGGAGAATGATAAAATGATGGTAAATAAATTAAACTAAAAACAATTTATATCCCGTTTAGACTAGCAAAAATATCACATAATTCCTCTAATACTTTGAGTATATACATACGAAATTTTTAAAAAAATCATTGTTTTCAGTTATTTTAATTGTTTCATCTGACTAGGTCAAAATCTACCTACAACTAACGGAAGAGAGAGTTCATTTGGTTTCTTTTCGAATAGAAACAAAAAAGTAGAAATCATTTTAAGGACATTGACAAAAGCTTAGCAAGCACTGGTATTACTATTATAACTGTTAATGAATAAATGAGATGACAATTAATCTGTGTATATAGTTTTGGTTTTTGTTGTGAAAATACAGAGAGATTACAGTAAGAACGATACGACACGTTACCAGTGATATTATTCCATATAGAAAACTATATATATGAATTTGACTATGAAAACGTCAATATTCTGGACTGACAGAAATAGAAGTACTCTAGAAAATTTGTGGAAGCGTGGAACCCAGACCAATTGGGAATCAAATTGAAAACTAACACAAATCGTATCTATCATCTTATAAGGAAAATGTCAATCAACTACATGGAGAAAGTCCGAGTGACTAAGACACTTTGAGTACAAGGACGAATGAGGGCAACGAAACTTATAGAAAAAAACAAGATCAACAGGACGAATTGATTTACTCCTGGTGCAATAACTAAGAAGCTCATGTCTACACAAATTACTGATGTTTTCCACAAGCACAGCAAAAATACTGTAATTAAACAATGCAGTTTAGTGAACTTAACAACACCAAAACGATTTTTTTGTGTTTTGTAATTCCACTACATTTCATACATTACCTGTTTAATTTAGCTCTTAATATGTTTATTACTTGTTCTTATTGATTTTTTCAGAATGTGTAATTTGAACTTATGATAGGAACTCGAACATTTTACAACTAAGTCAACTGGTCACTTGTATCCAACAATAAATAAAAATACTATCAAATAGATATACATTAGTAAAAGAATAATTAAGCAATATCTGGAGCTCGAAAGAACTGTTACACAAGACCAAATTTAGAATTTTCAACATAAACGTTATAACAACTCCATGGAGTATATCTGAAACTTAGAGAACTATCACAGCTATCACCAAAAAATACAGGTATTTAAGAAAAATGTCAACGCTAGATACTTCATATCTAATGGGCAGAGACTATCAACAATAACCTACTTTGGTAGCAAACAAATCAGCTGCCAGTTAATGAAACAAAGAACTTATCAAACCGTATCACAATGCAAGCCCTAACTAGGACTCGTCAAGACAAATTGAAAAGCGGAAGACCAAGGAAAAGAAGGCGCTGGAAATTAGACATATACATCAAACGATGAATAGTATTTATCAACAACGAGAAAGAGCCCAGGACAAAGTTGACTGGAGAACCTTGGCAGGCAGTCTACGTCCCAAGAAGAGTAAGGTGATCAGACATATTTTTTCGAGACCAAATGATAGGCAATGTATGTTGACGAGTGCATGGCATTGGTTGAGCTTTAGTTCAATCTTTCAAGAGGTACAGAAACATACCACTGGTTGAATTCTGGTTCGACTATTCTAGACGTTCATCTGTAATGATGAGTTTTCTGTATATATTTAAATTTCGGTTAAGCAGTCAAGCTTTCACTCAATTAGCAGGTTAGTTTCGAGTGTTGGAATCAGGTATTATAAATTGGGGGACGGTTCAACACAACAAAAGCTTAAATGGGTGTAGTAATCTAACTAGTGTTGTCTAAGTAATATATCGTTTATCAAAGTACAGTTATGATATACAAAAATATAATACTTCAAACCAGGAATCAATGAAACATTTAATCGATGAAACGCAACACTTTTACATTTAGGACCTTCGTAATAATTATAAACGTGAAGAACTAACCCATTTCTAGTAGGCAGCCATTCTACCAAACGTATCGGTTCGTAAAATATATAGTCATCTGGAACCGCTTCACCAGGGGCTGAGAGATATAAAAGAGATAATAGCAATAATAATAATAGTAAGGATCGTGTGGATGACAATAAATACGAATGGAAACTCAATAAAAAACAATTAAGGGAAATGATGATTAGCAGTGAAAAACATGATGGCTGAACAACAACTAAAGTAGAAAGAATGCCATCATCAAAGTAATAATGGTAATGCGAATAACAAAGGCTTATTATTATTATTATTATTATTATTATTATTATTATTATTATTATTATTATTACGCGGACATAAAATACAGTCAGAATATTTGATGCTAATAATGGTGAGTGTAAAATTAAGACATGGAAGAAAACTCATTGAAATCGATTTTATAATGATAGAGATTGGCATGAGATAGAGTAAATAGTAATGGGCATTTAGTTATCTGTGGATTTCTGAATATATATATATATATTTACTTAGGCGAAGTTTTGTAAAATTCATATAAATTAAACGATGGAAATGATAATCACGAAATATATCTGTATGCTAATGCCCATTTTCAGTAATACGAATGAATAGCTGAAATTAAATTTAAATCTACTGAGAAACTAATACTGATCAGTTTTTAGTTATCTTTTCTGTTCCATAAAACTGCCGCCAGATATCATTGTACATTAGCAAACTTTGGTACTTTACATACGAGTAAAAACTTTAAACCATGTAACGGAGTTTTACATAGATTAATGTGATTGGAAGTCGACAAATGAGGGGGTAATTCACGAGGTAACAAATTATATTTAGACCTAATAACAACCAAATAATACATTCAATCTATGTAAGCTAATATTCATGCTTCTGCAGTACTCTTTTGCAGTTACCTTCAATAATAAATCCCATATGTAACATACAAGGCAATCAGTGATATGTCGATAGCGACATTGTCATGCTATAAAAAAATCGTAGAAACACGGACATACGTTGTAGCTGATGTTAGAAATAACCATGATCACATACACCACTTAAAGGTTTCAAAACATCCTTTCACACCATTGGATATCATAATTACTGTCTTCCAATGTGACTTTTAGATGACATCATAATAAGAATATACTGATAAGTGTAAAAAATTCGTCACTGTCTTTTTAAAAGCACCATGGATGCGTATATGCAGCTCTCATTGAAAATGAACCATATATTATTCACTCACCGATTACAGCATCCCATCAATATCCTTAACAGCAATATACCCTAGATAAATATTGTTGAGCTATGAATCACTGTAAAAAAGTGATGTAAAATTCCGAAAACGAAAGCTAGTACGACAGTGATTCTTCTAGACTAACAAGTGGTAGACATAAAAAAGATTAAATTTTATGTATAAAGTTAATGAAATCTACAAATCCTAGCCTCGTAAATTTTTTCGTACAACACAAAGTATCAGAACGATAACAGATATGTGAGTTTACTTAAAATCATTTTTGGCTTAAATAAAGCTATGAACACATTATAACTTCTCCGGAAACCAATATTGGCTTATTTAGCTGAGTTACTACAAATCTAACTAGACGGCATGACAATACACTTTATAGAGATCAAAGTGTTCAAACTGATATTATATCTCGGCAGCCTAGAAATATGCAGGATAAACAAAGCTCTAGCTAAAAAAATGAAAAAACTTTCCTACAGTTTCGCTAAACCTAACTTAGTTCATTAGGACATAAGGCTCGATAAATGACAGTAATAAGTATAGAGTAACATAAGATAGTCCAAATTTTCACTGAATCCTTCAGGGTAGGAAATCGAAAGAAATTCTATCAATAAAACAAACCGACATTTCCCACAGAAAAACTTTGTTTTAACTACAAAAAGTATGTAACGATAAAGAAATCACAACTAGTTGTAACGATGTTAAATCTACAAAAAATCAAAATGAATAATTCAAATTAGTGCAACAAATCGACTTAGCTGTTACTTCAATTCAATGCTTTAGAAAGCATGAGAATGATATTTTATGCGATGAATTATCACAATAATTCACTTAATAAGGAAGCACCTTACCATGTGGGCAGATCACAGAAACTGGACGTTGTGGTTGGCGAATTAACCAAGTTGCAAGTAAACCATTATTATGCGAAGTAAGGAAACTTTTTCCATCCCAGTGCCAGACTACACTATACAAACTCTACAAAAAAATGTATAGTAAAATAATCACTGGATAGAAAATAAGTTAAAAATATACAGCTTTCATGTAACAACGACCAACGTGCTAAAATGCTACCAGCGATACTATAACCAACCATATAATGAGAAAAATAACACTAAAACAGTCATTTTTAACGGACAGAATTTGCAGCAAGCAAACGGTAAATATTATCAGTGATCCCCTTAAAGACAAATCATTACCATGATATTAAAATTAACCAATGGGTTAAACATAATGAGCAGCAAAAGTCCAGACGGGCAGACATTATCGACACAGAGTTTGGCACACGTGCGTTGGCCGAAGTTGCCATATCATAAAACCATGACGAGATAGAAATAACAAAAAAGATTGAAGGAACGCAGTAATAATGATAAAAAGACTAAACCTTAGGAATATGGTTCGGAAAGACAGACTAGAAAGATATATACGAAAGGATACTGGAATTCAAGATCGAGGGGAAGATAACGAGTGAATGGTCAATTTCAAACGATTGTGACATATCAGCAAAAGTTTCCAATGATTGGTTACGACAGTCATGCGAACACCAACCATGTAGTTTGAATATAATATCATGACTGAGAAAGACAGTTAGTGACTTCATGGACCTGTAGTACATAATGGTTTGGCCTCTTATCTTTCATTGAGCCTACATCAACACAAGATAACGCAGGACATCGAGGTAGGTGGTGTTTAGGCATATATAGCACATGTCCTAATTATATCACTCTGTGAAGATTAACTCTACCATCAACCGATTTATCGACTTGATCAATTACTTTATGCCTAATCTCAACATTCTCACTCGATCATTCCACAAAACCTAAGCAATTGTTAGAAGAAACCTTCAGCCTATACGTGTCTTTTACTTTCGTAGAATATGTTTCACAGCCATAACAAATTACACAACGGGCTGTTGCTCAGTACACTTGCCATTTAGGCTACAGATAGACATCTCACCTACGCCGTAAGAGACGCAAGTTAACTAAAGGCAACCAAGCTTTCTGGAATAATGCCAAAATTCCGTCAGACACCAACCCACCAGGGACAATGAGACTCCCAAACTAAGAAAGACGACAGGCGCACTCAACTATCTCACTTCCCATCATGAGTCTATGAGTTGATGCGGACCAGTCTTGAAGCAATATTTTGCATTTTGAGGGAGAGAAACGCAATACGAATATCCTAACATTGTTGTTTGAGGGGGTCAGCCGCTACACCAACCAGGACCATATCATACGGGTATTGGAAGTCAATAGGCGAAACTTCTGGTATGAGATCGAACCCAGAAAGCTAAGTTCAATAAAATATTATTTATAGTAGGACATTATTAACATAAGTCTTTTCTACATTTGTTTCCTTGAGATAGAGTGAATGGTCACACTTAGATCTTTAATGTGTCTTTCGGAAAAACAAGATATATAAAAGGCACGAGATACTAAGGTCATAGCTAGTGACGCCTGTTGTCCGATTCGACATAGGGCTCGAATATTAAAATCTCCAACAAGTAGTTAACAGTGCGGTTTCAAAAGACCTGTGGTAGCAATTTATGAACTTAAATAGTTAGCACTGGGAGCACATTTCGAAAAGGCAGAAGACAAATAATGAGGGATGATAGTGGAAGTATATGTAAAATTCCGTGATGGAGACGGGGATCGGTTATGAACAAGATGATGTCATGTGCTACTAAAGGTACAAGGACAGTTATCTGATTCCGATTGCCCTTATCGTGGAAGGATATTCCTTCTTTGGAGAACCTGAGAAAGAAACTTGATTAGTAGTGGGCGTACCAACAGTGGAGCGAGACCGCAAACCCAAGGAACCATTGCTTGAAACCGGTCATACAAAGTCTTCGATGTGTTAGCCCTATACTTCAAAAAGCTTTACTGTTCGCAACAAAAAAACGCACAGGGTAAGGTGAAATGTAGCATTTTTACCATCGACCTAATCTAACCCCTTCCTTCCATTGTTAGGCAGCATCAATGCAGATAGTGGTTGTCTGAGGGAAACACTTTATTGCTGTCACACCCCAGCACAGTCAACAGTACAACTTTGCTCTTGGACCTTGAGTTGCTGTTCTCAGTTTTATTTTTCCCCAACCGGCCTGCCAGGCATGGTAGGACCTAAGGAAACAACTGTCCTATCCAATAAAGCTCCATGGGGGCTTTATGAAAGGTGAGTGCAATCACCACGTTAAAGTAGCAGCTACAATCGGGGATAACTGAAGTAAATGGATGCTACTTGAACTATTCGTTGAATAGTTTTGCCTATCCTTTAAGTAAACTGGTCTGAAAGTTGATCAAGATTCCGTCTTTGATTATATTAACATGTAGCATTTTATTTCCCAGTACACTAGATGATAATCGAACGTCTAGGTTAATAAATCCGCTAACTTTTGAGTGTCGTGTCAAGAACCTCGTTTCCCGAAAACTCATCTGATCGAGTATGTGTAGCAATAATTTCTCTGATTCCAGAGCTACTCGTTTTTTTAAGTACTTCAAACAGTACATTGGTGTTAACGAAGAAACTGAATACGATGTCTATTTTAGTAGCGTGACTACAATTTATACAACTTTTTATATTCCTGTTTGTCTAGGACTGTTATTCGCTTAAGTAATGTTAATCCTTGCGGTCAAAGTAGCAACTATGGTCAGGTGTCACAGTCCATCAATCAACTACAATTTCGAGTTATTTTAGGGCAGCCCTACGTCTCTCATGAGAAAAAAACACGTACATTACATCATGTTAGGAACGGAAAATAAAACAATAAAACAGACTTACATCTGTATGTTTGAAACGAGCATCACCCTGTTTGGTTTTTAGATCCCATAATACAAGAAATCCCGAAGAATAACCAATAAGAATCTTGTTAGGATCTTGAGGATTCTCAGCTATCTGAATAACTTTCCCCGGATGCGACGACTGAGATCTGAAAGAAATGAAATGATAACAAAATTAAATTCTATACACTTATAAAGAAATGACTGACATGGGAATAATGTCAAGTTATGCACGATTTAGTAGCACACTTATAAAAAACTTAAAATAAGATAAAACTATAAAACAGTTTTAACGACTACTGATATATCAACTTCATCAAACAACTTATTTAACTGATGTATGACCGAATATATTTAATAACGACCGGTTGAAACAAATTGTGCACAAATTACTTATCGCACAAACTGAACTTAAAGCCATAAATAAAATTGCTGTATACGATATGATGGTCAACAATATTTTTTCATTGATTAATCCAGTCAACTACTCAAGTGTTAATCATAATCAATTCTCTTAGAGGTACCATTTTCGAAAAGTTAGAAGTTAGGTAAACTACAGGGAATTCTTGTAAACGCTATTAATATGTTGACGATAACGTACACAATATGGATAAAATTATCTTTTCTGGTAATTAAGCAGAGATGGATGGTGGCTAGCCGTGGAATCCTTTTCAACTTATGTGGGATTCATCAGCTGGATGTAGCTGCATCGCAGAGTTGATATTCACTCCCTTAGCTACTGGATCCATGTGGCCACGGGCTTGTGCAATGGGGTGACGAGTCGCAAATAGGGTGAAACGCAAATCCTTGAGTCCACTGCTAGCAACCATCCATCTCTGCTTAGAATGCATGTAACTCACTGACACTATCGAGGAAATCTGCACAGGATGAACATATACCAAGAAAGAGACTAATTAATTCCAGTCTTAATCATCAGTGGGAAGATCCGAACAACAAACATGTATGAATTAAAATTATTCTGGCATTTGTTTTACTTACAGATCGATAGCCTTGTTCCAATTAATCACATAGCCCGATGTAGTAAACCGTTGAACACTTATGAAATTCACATTGCCCTTATCAGTACCCAAATAGAGCCAACTGCTGCCAACAGGAAGATGACCGCAGGTCAAACTGTGGTTACAGAAACAAGAATAAAACATAGAATTCAAAGAGACTTTATTTTAATGTATGGCTAGTTTATCAACGGCAGCAATAAAATTTACAACTAAAAGAACATTTTGAATGATAGCAGTTCCCAACACTTCTATGATTACCATAAAAATGAAGCTTCAAACAAGGCAGTCTATAAAAATTGAAAATTCTAATGTTATGCATACATTACACGAAAATTCCTGTTTCTTTGTAAACCAAATTAGCTAGACTTACTAACCAATTTTCTTTTCAGTAGGATCATTCTGGTTTTTATTAAGGACGAAGAGTTAAATTCCGATTACGTCCTTTCGTACTACTGCTACAAACGGCTTAATTTTACTGTCAGTGTGGCAGGATGCATCCAAATAAGAACAGACGCATTTTGAATTCCACATCTAACCACAACCAAAAAATATCATAAATCGCTTATATTCATGTTAAAAAAAGTACAGCAAATTATTCTGAAGTGTTATGTTTATGAGCAAACAATGTAAATTCGTATGGAAAAATGTTCCATATTTGGAGCAAATAAAATTCCATTGTGCCATCTCTGTAACATGCACCGTTACCAGTAACATATATTCCCTGTTTTTCTTCAAATAACGATTACACGAATATCTCTCATAAAACGAAATACTATACACAATTAAACATTTTACATCCATCTTAATAAGTTTGCTATAGGTTTAAACAAAAATTCATTTCTGACGTGTTGTCCGTTTACAACCATTTTCCTGAGGCCTGCTGCCATTTCACACAAAGGAACATAGTTTATCACACAAACCTAAATTTAGAGTATTTTCTGATTGTATCCACTTATATAACTTAATAATGAAGATCAAGCAGTGACAAAAACTGGTTGTAAACAATTCAAACTAATAAAACGCTGTCGCAGTTCTCTAAAATCAATTTTAAAACTATCAATCTTCGAACCCTATGGCTGATCAGATAAGAGGACTAAACAACGGAAGTATAATTACTGGAAGAAAGATATTGTTTTATGTCACAATCCCCATATTAACTTAACGACAAACGAAATAGGTCACTGGTCATTTCTGGAGGATAAAAGATTACTATCCAGTGTAGACCAGAGAAGTGGTCTTGAGGATCTCTTGAGTCTCAACATGAAGAAAAAGAGCATTAAGATTTTTCCTCTAATTAGGTTAAAAGTTAATACAAAAATGATAACTTCATGTATCGTAGATTTATTCTAACCCGTTAAACGTTCGCACATTTATGCACGTCGGACAACAGATCGGGCTGGCTATGTCTTTGGAAAGTCTTAGTATTGACGTTTGCTGTCTATCCGAGACACGTATTCAAGACTCTGATGAAGCACTACAAATTCGCTCTCCATCTGTCCGCCAATAAGCTTGTTTTACGTGCGCTTATCCGGGGACCCTGTGGCATCTTCGTCTGGTCTTGCTGGAGTTGGTGTCGGACTAAGCGCCAGAGCTGAGGCAGCACTAATCGACCGATGTGCCACCTGGCGTCCTCCCTCTGCATCTCAAGCCTGGACTCAGATTGATCACATCGCGATCAGCTACCGCTGGCGTGGTTGTGTACAAGATTGCAGTTCATTTTGGAGCACCTATCTGGACTCTGACCATGCCTTGGTCTGCGCCAATCTTACCTTACTTTTCAGAGGACAACGAAGTGACCGCCATCAACGGATTGATATTAGCAAGCTGGTTGCAACTTCTGCTGAAAGTAAGTATCGAACCGAGCTAGCCTCTAGGCTAGCTACCTCTCCACCAAAAAGTATAGATCAGCATTGGTTGCAATTGCATGACACCATGAAAATGGCGGGTACAGTCAGTTGTGGGTTTGCGAAACGTCCCGCTTATAAGCACTGGGTTTCTTCTGGTTCCTTACAACTCATTGAAGACCGTCGGTCTACTGCAGGTAACCGTGAGTTTGACCATAAACGAAGGATGTTACGTAAGGAAATTGGGCAAAGCTTGCGTAAGGACCGAGAAGCCTGGTGGTCGAAGCGTGCTAATGAGCTGGAAGCAGCAGCTGCATCTGGTAACTACCGGAAGCTCTTCCAACTCATCCGAGCCACTGGCAGCAAGACGTCTGGTGTGAGTGAAACAATCTGCGAGGATGATGGGATGCCAATCACCAGCATTCATCGACGTCTGGGACGATGGGCATAATTTATCGAAGGGCAGTTCAACTGGCCTGCTGCTCTGGCAACATCGGTCAGACTGTCCTGCCCTCCATGGCCGGCGACGACCGATCACCAAACGAGGAGGAAGTCCGCAAAGAACTCCAACTCTTGAAGCGTTACAAATCACCTGGCCCAGATGACTTACCTCCGGCTCTTTTTAAACATGGTGGTGACTTTCTGACTAAATTGACGACGTTGTTCACAAAGGTTTGGGAGCTAGAGAGTGTACCAACGTCATGGAATGAGTCGATAGTTGTCCCTATCTTTAAAAAGGGTTCACGTCGTTCCTGTAACAACTATCGGGGGATAAGTCTACTTGCGATTGCGTCCAAGCTATTGGCTTCCGTTATACTTCATAGGTTGTTCAAAACCTGAGAAAGATTGACTCGAGAGGAGCAGGCTGGGTTTCGTTCTGGTCGAGGATGTATTGATCATATGTTCACCCTCCGCCAAATGTTAGAACACCGCCATACTTATCAAAGGCCAACAATCGTAGTGTTTCTTGACATCAGGGCTGCCTTCGATTCGTTGGACAGGACTGTTCTCTGGGATTGTCTATTGAAGAAGGGTGTGCCTGAGAAGTCTATTAACATCCTAAAAGCCCTATATACTAAAACCTCAGGCAGAGTGAGGGCATACAACTACCTCTCTCCATTGTTCCGTTCGAGCAGTGGGGTTAGGCAGGGTTGCCCAATCTCACCATCCCTCACCAACTTTGCCATCGACGACGTTCTGGAAACAGCTCTGACGGATGTAACTAATAGTGATGTGGATCTGTTGCCTGGAGAAAGTTTTCTTGACCTTGAGTATGCGGACGATATTGTCTCACTGTGCGATAATGCCCAAGGCATGCAATCCTCACTTAACCAGTTGGTAATCAGTGTCCGTAGGTACGGTATGTGCTTTGCACCTTCGAAGTGCAAAGTACTTCTACAGGACTGGCAGGATTCCAATCCTGTACTCACCCTGGATGGTGAGCAGATAGAAGTAGTCGAGAAGTTCGTGTATCTAGGTAGCTGTATAAGTGCTAGTGGTAGCGTGAGTGCTGAGATCAATTCACGTATAGTGAAAGCCAGAGCGGCTTATGCCAATCTGGGCCACCATTGGCGCTTTCATGATGTCAGTCTGGCTGTAAAAGGTCTGATCTACAACGCGTCGTTGAGAGCAGTTCTGCTCTATGCTTGTGAAACCTGGCCTCTCCGAGTTCAGGATGTTAGACGACTCTCTGTGTTCGATCAACGCTGTCTCCGAAGGATTGCTGACATCCAGTGGCAGCATCATTTGAGTAATGCAGAGGTTCGGCATCGTGTGTTCGGGCACAGAGACGATAATGCAATCGGTGTCACCATCTTGAAACACCGACTTCGGTGGCTTGGACATGTTCTACGAATGTCGTCCCAGAGAATTCCACGTCGTGCATTATTTGCCGACTCTGGGACTGGTTGGAAGAAGCGGAGAGGTGGTCAGTGCATGACATGGTGTCGTGGTATGAAAGAAAGCTGCAAAGGACTGGCTTCTGTCGGTCCTTCACGGCTCCCTGTTTGGGGTCCGAGAGATGGTGCTACACAGTGGCTAGAGACGTTATCAGATATGGCTCAGAATAGAAGCCAGTGGCGATCCTGCTGTAACCTTCTTTTACTTTCTTCATAAAAGGTGGTTGTGTCTCCCTTAACTGAAAGATTTCTTCTGATTGTACCTTTCCGTTCCCTCAATTCTACCATACTACCTTACATCAATCTCTTCGTTATTGTTCTCTTTTCCTTTTTGCGCTCCTTAGTTTTTTTTTCTATTTCTCTTCGAATTCTCATTGTTTTGTGTGGCGCATATATATTGGCGCTCTCTTGTACCAATATTCATGTGTTCAAATAAAATAAAATAAAATAAACCATCAAACATTTGTTGAGTTTACAAAAATTCTCTTCAGAATATGTCTGCGCCGATCCCTAATCACAGTGATTGAAGGTAGCTGGTTGTCAAACGCTTTATATATTTTGGAAATCTGATAAGACATGAGAGGTGAATGTTTAGTAAAAAAGTAACGAGAGTATATACAACTTGTCGATTTTGAGATGATTTATGCCACCGGTAAATCATCCCAGCTGTTTACCTGTCTACAAAAGTTCAGGAAATATTTTGTATCTTTCTTTACGAAAGACGATATAACCCTCGAAGACAGAATACATGCGTAAGTTGGGAGATTTCAATAGTATGCATCTCGTAACCACCTAATCAGCAGGTACATTTCCTGTACGATTGGGAAATCTATTGTGAACCTACATCAACTATGGTAATGGGTACGTTTGTTACACTCGTTTAACCATTTGGTTTCCTAAGCGTAATCCACCGCCAGTTGTAAGAGTTGAAAGAAATAACAGACCAAAACATAACATCAATCCATGAAGAGATTATATAAGTTCAGACATCATATGGTTTATAGGATAGATATAATCAGTGTTTGAAAAACATGAACATCGGTTCAAGATCACCTGAAATTGTGGAGGTGTGTTCATTCTTTATTTTTGTTTGTTCTTGTGCCGTTCGTATCAAAATGACTCCTTACTTCCCCTTTTAGTTAAATTAATCTCGGTATACTATGAAGTCCGGAAAAATCAATAGGCATCTATGACAGATGGTAGTCTGAAATTGTTTATCCCTTTCTGTTTATCAAAATAATCTTATTTGTGTAAGGCAGTTTCAATCACAAAAAGGAGTGAAACAATTCGACATAATTTTTAGTCGGAACAGTCCAATACAATAAGTGAAAAAAAAACAGAAATATTTGTTTTCTGTTTTGTTCACATAATCT